GTGTGACTTTATCTTGTCTTTATATTTAACAGAAGAGCTTGATATTTGGATACGGTTCGTGTGGTTGGAGGGTGTCTGTGAATGGTCCTACTTCTTTTCTTTCCCTCTGTTGATGGCGATAATATCTATGTTTTTGCTCTTAGATGCGTGGGACTTTTTTCAGGGTGTTACTCATCTTGTCGTATATTATGATCTTTATATCTGACAGAAGAGCTTGATATTTGGATACGGTTCGTATTGTTGGAGGGCGTCAGTGAATGGTCCTACTTCTTTTCTTTCCCTCTGTTGTTTCTATCTTGTCTTGCTTTTCCCCTGCTCATTATGAGTGGGTGGTTGGCGGGTGCTGTGGTGTGGTCTGCTTCTTCTTTCCTATCAAACATCTATCGTCTTTTTCTCCCCTCCTTTTTTGTTTGTTACTCTCTTGTAACACCTCTAGTCTTCTGTACTTATATGACCTTATTTTGTTGCAAGTGCCGTAAAACACTTACTAAAACTAATATTTGTATTTACTAGAAGAGCTTGATACTAGGAAACGGTTCGAATTGTTGGAGAACGTCATTGGTTTGTCCTACTTCTTTTCTTTCCCTCTATTGTTTCTATCTTGTCTTGCTTCCCCCCCTGCTCATTATGACCGTTACTGTGTCGATGTTCTTCGCTGTACTCAAACCCAAACCCTTGGGTACGGTACTATACAGTATAACGAGTACCATTTTGATATTTGACAGAACGAGACAATGGGGTTAAGTACATATATTATGAAGAATGTGGCAGTTTGTTTGACGCTAATGGTTTGGTTTTTGAAGTCGCTATACGGTTTGAAATATTCTTCAGTATATGTTTTTGGGGTATTTTTTTGGCAAACAGGTTTTGCTGCTCTGAGTTTTAGTTTTGAGCAAAGAGAAGCAAACACTTTGGCAAGATAGCAAATTTTCTAGAACAGGGGTGGGGGGGGGGGGGGGGGGGGGGGGGTGCAAAAGCAAGATAAACATACAGAAACAACATAGGGAAATATAAAAATAGTAGAACCTACAACGAATGACGGACCCCAACCACTCCTTTTGATTCCATGATTGCAACTCGTGATATATGACGTGACGAGGGAGATTAAACTTTTGTCACCTTCCATCCTCTCTCAAGTTTCAGAAGAAAAAAAACAATTGCACATTAATTGCATCATCCCGTCGGCAAGGTTACGATGATCAGAGACAAAGGACAATGCTGTCCTGTGTCTATAATGTAGCTTTTGGATACTTCGCTGTTGCACGCAAAAGACCTAAGTTCGAATCCTGTGTCGGAAGAATTTTTATTGAGTATTTCGGTTTTTCTGCAGGCACGTTGTATTCATTTCAGTTCGGGTTGTCCCTGTCAGACAGAGTCGAAATCTGCATCTTAAATGATCGAAAGTGTGTTGATGGGGGTGTAAATATTATAGGCTACATCTTTATTTTTTTAAAGAGAAAAAAAACCAACCCAAAAGAACCTCCAGAAAAAAAGAAGACTGCTGTCCCTTCATACCGTGCGAGTGTCAGGTTTTGCTTCTCATTTGTTTGGTTTGATGTAGGTCAGCAGTGTGTCTCTCTTAATCACCGGTGAAAGTGAATTAAACGTATAACACCCACCCCCTCCACACCCATCCCCGGCCGCCTTTTGTGTCCGTCTGTCTGCTGGGGCGTTGTGTCCCTCCCAGCCTGAGTTAGCCTTGACAGGCAGGACAGAAATAGCCCGCCTCCTAAATGATGTAAATTGTGTTGGATAAACATTCTACAATTGTAATGACCAAAGATGCCCCCCCCCCCTATATAAGTGGCTACTTTTACTATACAATTCTCCCTTATATGTTGACAGAATAAATGCAGCTTAGTTTTGCAATATCCTAATACAAAACTTGGACGACAAAAGTCATACAATATGATATGAACATTCATACTAGATGCTTTCCTTCCCAAACTGACCTAATAATACCTAAAGTAGCGCATGTACCTTCGTCTCAAAGGTTGTTTGACAAGCCCTCTTGAATGGCGTTTGGCTTATTCTAAAAATTACTTTCTAGATTTGGCGTATAATTCAGTGTCTTTGGACGTGTGGTTTGCTCCCTCTTACCATCCGCCATCCATATCTCTCCTCCGTCTTTTATTTGCATGCTGCTATCTAGTAACATGTCTAATCTTCGGCACTTAAATGTCTTAATTGTGTTGCAAATGCCGAAAAACTCGAAATAAAGAAGACATCTTGTTTTGACTCCCTGCGAAAGAAAATGAAGTGTAAATTTTATAAAGATAACGACAAGGCTTCGTATCTCTCTCACCCGAGCTTAGATACGAGTCTGAATTGATTTTTTAAAATAGAAAGACAAACGGCAAAAACAACAACACTCCGCCCACCCCCACCCCTCCCTTAAAAAGAAAGATAAAAGCGAAGATAGATTTTTTTTAAAAGAAACAAACAAGCAGCGTTTCAGAAACAAGCAAAACATTAGAACAATAAAAACAAAACAAACACGCACGAACAAACGGACAAACAAACATACGTCCATTCTCTCAGCTGCTAGCTACCACTACCACCAGCTCCACTTCCATCGCCAGAGGCTCGTTGGCTGCCACCGTCCCTGGCTCTTGCCAATAAACCACGTCAGATCTGCCACGGGGCCAACAGCAACTTTATCACCTCCACTAATCTCTCTCAAATGTCTCCCACTGACCTTAGCGCGCTCCCTGTTTAATCCCAATAAGAGAAAGCAAAGGCTTGCCCGCCAGTCCTGGGTCCTGGTCTTGGTTCGGGGT